GTCCTAGCCTTACAATCTCTTGTTTGATTAAATGATTCATTTTCTCCACTTGGCTGTTGCACCTGTGTTCTGGCCTTCTGATGTTGATGGATTTCTTTTACACTTTCTCACACTCTTTCTGGTAAACAGTGGATGTTTTGCATTCCTCCTTGGAGGAAGAGAGAATTGAGGGACATGTGATGAACCAATGGAGTCAAGAGGTCTTACCATCACTGTCTAATCCATGATCATTGTTGGAATTCTATAAATAGACATGTAATGTAAATAAAGAGGTCTTTTCCTGCTCGACTTCCTTGGAGTCAGGTGTGAGTCTCTCTCTCTGTCTCTATGTCATTCTGTGACATCTGGTGACCTGACTGATGAGACAGCATGGTGAGGTTTCTTCTCTCTCCCTTTCCTTTGATTTGGGTTTTTTTTTTCGCCATGAAGGCTTTTTTGGTTTCTTAGGAGGACGAGCTAGTTCTCGGCCTCTGGGGAGACCTCCTGAACAGATATCAAGCTTCCATCTCCCTGGTGGAGTTTCATCCGCTCTTTTTGTGGGCTCGGGACATGGATTTTCTCTCTAGACCTGAGGAAGCCTTCTCTAGGGACGCGTGGTCTCCCATGGGTGAACATTTCAGCAGTACGCTCTCTGCTTATGGAGCAGACAGAGTGCATTTTCTGCTGCATTGGAAAAGGATTGATAGCCTTCTGGGCGAGGTTTTTAGTCCCCGGGGGTCCATGGAGGACCTGCTCTGGAGACGGACAGCGAATCTGATGAAGATTCTGAGTTTTTGCCCCTGCCGGAGCTTTCCCCTTCTCTCCAGGCAGGGGACCGGGGAACCGCCCTTGTTCAGCTGTTCTTCAGCGGCCGGGGGGCGGGCGGGGCCCTGCAGGGCTCCGAAGCTCTGGTGGGGTCGGCGATGCCGGCCCGGCCCCTCCCTGACTCGCTGGGGCGGGGGAGGGAGAGCCGCCCTCCCTGTGTGCATGCCCAGCACTCTGGGGGTGCGGGGGGTCCCTGGCCCGGCCGCCGCCTTTGCTGGACTCAAAATTAGTCACAACACTGTGTCTGAACTGTAGTGTGTCCACACGTTACCCCTTGGAGATGGCGGGGCCGGATCCACCCGTCCCGCCGCCTCCAGCTGCGGGCAAGTTTGGAGTGGCTGGCCCGGCCGTGGCACAACCTGCTGGATGTGCGCAGGGGCTTGGAGCCGCCAGGGCCGGGGCGTTGATTGATCTCGGGTCGGATCCCACCCCGGTGGATGGGCGGGTGGTTCCGCTACGCCCGGAGGGGGTCCTCGCCGTGGGCCGGCTGGCCGCGGGGAGCACCCTCCTCGGGGTGGTCCTGGACGCCCCATTGCCTGCTCCGCCCCCGCCTGACACAGTGGGGGCCGCCGCAAGCAGTGGGAGGGTGGCCCGAGCCGCGGCTGGCCCTGCGCAATCCCCCCAGCTGGTGCCAGCTGGGCCAGGCCCCATGGCTGAGGCGCGGGGCGGGGACACAGCCCCCTGAGAGCCAGTCTCCTCGGCACTCCACCCCACCCCTGCCGAACAGGGGGATGAGTCTGGGTTGGCTACGTGCCGGCTTGGCTATGTTGCCTCTGTCTCCCGCAAAAGTGGATGGGAAACCAGCGATTCCAAAAGAAACGCGGATTGCTCAACCTTTTTCTTTTAAGTCTTGTATTCACAGATCAGCTGACCGGTCTAGAGGAGATGGTGGCTTTGGGTCCGCTAGGCCCCCTGCAGTTCACTGGCCAGCGGTCCTGACTGAAGAACGTCCCAAGATGCTGTATGCCCTGTCCCCCCCTGGTGGTCTAGTGGTTCGGCTTAGGCACTCTGACTGCCGTGGCTGGGGTTCGAATCCCGGTCAGGGAGCGAAGCGATGCTATGTAAGGCAGTGGTCCGTGCTGATCATGAACCAGGGGGGACAAACAACCACGATTCGGCATCTCGTTGCTTCAACTTTTGCTACCCTCTGGGGGAGTGATGCTCTGTTCCCGTAGGGGGTGTGCATCGAGGCGGATTTTTAATGGGGGCCACTGTGGTGATGGAGCAGATGGGGGTGCCACAGCCTGGTCTGCTGTCACCCACCATACTTCTCAGACTGGCCACTTTTCATGATTGATTTAAAAGATTGTTTCTTTTCAATTCCTTTGTATCCTGATGATAATCCAAAATTTGCTTTTGCAGTGCCAGTTTTCAACACTGATGAACCTGCACAGAGATATCAATGGAGGATTTTGCCCTTGGGCAAGCGAAACTCGCTGGCCATTTGCCAGAGGTTTGTGGCTCATGCCTTGTCTGGAGTTCACAAATGGTTTCCTGATGTCTGAATTTGTCATTGCATGGATGATATCCTGGTGGCAGCGTCCACTCAGGATGAGTTGCTGAGAATAAAGTCTCAGCTATTCGATGCTCTGCATGCACATGGGCTGAAGGTAGCTCCAGATAAGGTTCAGGAGTGACCTCCTTGGAAATATTTAGGAGTCAAAATGATGAAGAAAACAATTCAGCACCAAGAAGTGCAATTCGAGTGTTCGATCAGTGTGGTTACTGCACTAGAAAAAGAGAGAGAGAGACAGCAAGAACAGCAACACACATGGACCTCTTTAGGGAAAAAGGCCAACTTTATTGAACGGACAGCCCGTATTTAAAGCATATTATGCGGAGCTAAGACAGGACAGTAGCTCATTGGACAATTGGGAAAAACATCCATGAGACCGTACCTTAGGATGTGTCCCATGGGTAAAACACCAGGTGTTAATCTTTATTATGAATTCCATTCTGTTTTTCACCATATTATCACTCTGGGAGACTTCCTCCCTAACTGAAGCCATAGTCAGTTTATCAGTCTGGGAATGGACCTGAGAGGTAGGAGAAGTTCAGGCCTGAGAAAGAATTCTCAAGCTGTAATTTCCTAGCTCTATAAATGTGTGTGTCCACAGGTCCCCCCTTTAATTTAAAAGAAAAAGGAGGAGAAGTGTTTGCAATCTCTTTGCAGGGCCCTTCGCAAAGGAGAACAAACACGACTCAAAAGACCTGAAGACATTCCCAGAAAAGTTGTTGAACCTGGTGCTTTCTTCCCTACAAAATCTATAACAAAAACAAAAAAATCCATCAACATTCACAAAACCTATTATTTCTAAACAGTTCAAAAACCTATCTAATAACATTTCAATTGGCTTCAAAACAGTTCCACCACGAGCAGATAGGTGTTCATCTTCTGCTTGTAGAGGGACCATCAGGCTGGTGATCGGCATGCTGGTCAGCATTTGAAGGCTGTGCATTGGCCACATTCTGTCTCGGACGTCGCAGGTCAGGGCGGACACATCTCGCAGGCAGCCAGCGTACCCCGGTATCTGTTGAGACGCAAGCATACCC